TGCTCAAAATTTCATTTCAGTTTGGGTTACGGTATCACAAAATATTGTTCATAAGTCCATCAATACACAATCCACAAAGACATTTGATACACCAAAATTATCCCTATTTATTCCCCTCCAATTCCTGTCCAACCAATCATACACTATATACAATTAACAGGCTCTAACACACTCAAACCTAAGGTGACCCTCTTAATTTCTCATCAAACCGACAAATTCAAGCCACAGACATATTGAAAAAATACAGCTGTGTTATGTCAATTTATTCCCACTGAACAAAATGTTTTTACAATATGCCACCAATATGTAGTTCAAAACTTATTAACCAAACATATGTGATACCATTTACGAAATAAAATACTGACAGTTCTACGTCAGTCGAATCATGTGTGATGTAACACAATCACAAGGTTTGATTTAGTCGTCATCAGATTTGTCCTCGTCTGGCAAATGATGGCTATTGAGGCACTCTTGTCGGCATCCATAGGCAACACTGCACGATAGTGTGTACCACCTACATGTGCAATGGAGGGCTTATACGTTTCTCTTTGCAACCACTCGTAGGTATAGCAAGGATCCAGAGTGCCCTGAATCGATGAATGATCACCTTCAGTGACCAAGCACGGCTATCAAATGACATTCGACAGATGGTAGGAATGACACACAGTGGGTCAAAATCTCACGGTTACAGAAGCTCCAGGGTAATGGAACGAGACGAAGCTGATTTACCAATAAGCTTGAGGAGCAAATCCAGTGGTTCAATCCATTCAAGCGTCAGGGAGATGAATTTGTGTGCGAATTCCACCAACGATATAATCTCATGATGACAGCAGGCAGGATCTACTGACAGGTCCAAAACGTGGTACAGAACTGCTAACTGACTTCGTAGAGAACTGTTTGCTCCCAGATGCGTCTGGAAACCTTCATGATACTATCATCAAGAACAAGTCGAAGACCTCGGATTTGCACACTGTGAACGTGCCTACTCCCTGCTGGAAAAAGCAAAGCAACCAAGGCAGACAGAGATCTATTCCGGCAGTTGTTTAGTGCAGCTAGTTGTGGTCGCCAAATAGACTTGACAGATTTATTACAGCATGAGTTGGCCCCGATACCACTCGCCTTCGTAACAGTGAATCACACGTTACGGCCAACAGAAAAGGCAGCCCTGTACCACTTGCTGTATGACGACTATGTGAAGGACCAACTTCCTGAAACTGATCAACCAATCTGTGTTAACGTGGATGGCATGGCTACTGTGCAAGCATTGGGGAAGCCATCTACTGCATCTACCTTTGGTGATCTAGCAGATAATTTCTGCAGTAGAGTCTTCAGTAACCTTAAAGACTCTCAAACAAGATTGAACATCATACTTGATAACTAATAACAGAAATCGATCAAGTCTTTGACGAGGGTTCAGGGAACGTCAAATCATTGGTGGGCGTGATCTGCGGCTACTTTCTGTTTGGCAGTCCTTTGAGGAGAACAAGGTGCACCTCATTCAGTTTTGCGTGGTCAACTACTACTGGAGGCACAATCCTTACCACATCATAAGAAGTTGTAGTGTCAGGTGGGGATCAATTTCTTGCTGCATCGTCTCCTGGATGCAATATCCATCACCTGAATTAAACCCATGAAGATGCCGACACGAAAATTGTGCTGCATACTTTTGATGCCAACGTACAGAATTTCCAAAGGTTAGTCGTATGCAACAGAGATACAGACATCCTTCTTATGATTCATCATGACACTGCCCAAGACGTATGGATGAGCAGTGGGACTGCAAAAGAGAGGCAGTCCATTCAAGTGACCACTGTGCGTGCAAGCCTGGAACAAGAAGTTTTCAATAATATCTTATTGTTTCATGCACTAACAGATCAGACTCAGTCAGTCATTTCTGTGGTCATATGGAAACGCACTGCACGAAAAACGAACAGTCCCCCTCACTGGTGCGTTTACAGGGGCTCGTTATATAAACATTCCACAAATCGTTACATCGAGATATTTATTTTTAATATTGTTTTACTTTGATTCCATAATATGTTTACTATTGTGAGTTTCCTTCTGTCGAATGTAAACAAACACAGGGCTGCACACCTAAAAAAACCTGACGAACCCCTGTAAACGCACTAGTGAAGGGGACTGTACATGAAGAACCTTGAACTACTTAAGGATCTTGGTCAAAACCATAATGTTGATATGACAGACATCGAGCTCTTTGTCGTCAAAATGTGCAGTTCAACTACAAAAGCAACTTCTATCAATAACTTTTGCGTAGAGGTAGTCTTCTTAATTTTGTTGGTTGTAGCACTTGTGAGTATGTTACCCCCCACTATTATAGCTTTTCTATTGCCCACAAATTTGATGAACTTGGGTTCTGTGAGACCAAACTCACGAACGATATTGAAGGCTTTACTGTCACACAGGTAAAGTCTGTGGTATAAGCCTTACTGTATTACTGGCATTGTGTGAAGTAGAAACGTTTCTGTTATACTGTTACAATGAGTGGTGTCTTCAAAACTGTTATACTGTTTGGTGGAGAACGTACTGTTATGCAGGCACAGTGTGTGGTGGAGACGTTACTGTTATACTGTTACAGTGTGTGTGGTGTCCTCAAAACTGTTATACAGAGATAGTGTATGTTAGAGACCTTTCTGTTATGCAGGCACAGTATGTGGTGGAGACGTTACCTTTATACTGTTACAGTGTGTGGTAGACGCTTTACTGTGGTACAGGAAAAGAGTGGTGGACATCTAATTGTTGTATTGGTATAGTGTAGCGTATGGTGGAAACCTTTCCGTCATACTGTTATAGTGTGTGGTGGTGATCTCACTTACTGTAATAGAACGCATGGTGGACACATTACTCTAATACTGATATAGTGTGCACTGGAGACTTTACTGTTAAACTGGTACAGCGTGTGCTGGAGTCATTAATGTTATACTGATACAATGTGGTGAGGACCTTATTGTTATACTGGTACAGCGTGTGGGGAGACCATACTATTAAGTTGTGGAGACCTTAGTTTTATACTGGTACAGTATGTGGTGCAGAACAATACTGTTGTACCGGTAAAGTGTATGGTGGAGGCCTTATTGTTACATTGTTGAGGCCTTACTGGTGGAGACATTATTGTCTTACAAGTAGAGTGTGAGGTAGAGACCTTACTTTATAATGGAACAGTGTGTGGTGGAGACCTTATTGTTATACTGGTACAGTGTGTGGTGAAGACCATACTGCTATACTGGTAAAGTGTGTGGTGGTGCCTTTAATGTAATGAAAAGGAATCTGTGTAGTGGAGACCTTTATTGTTATACAGGTACAGTGTGTGGTGGAGACATTACTATTATGCATGCACACTGTGAGATGGATGCCTATTGTTATACAGTTAGACTATGTAGTGGAGTCCTTACTGTTGTACAGGTACAGTGTATGGTGGAGATATTACTGTTATACTAGGACAGAGTGGGGTGGAAGCTTTATTGTTATACAGGTAAAGTCTGTGGTTTGGAGACATTAATATTTTACTTGTACAGTGTGTAGTGGTGACCTTACTGTTATGTAGGCACAGTGTGTGGTGGAGACCGTACTGTTATATTGTTACAGTGTGTGGTGGAGATATTACTGTTTTACAAGTAAAATGTGAAGTAGAGACCTTACTTTAAACTGGAGCAGTGTGTGGCAGAAACCTTACTGTTATACTGATAAAATGGGTGGTGGAGGACTTATTATTATACAGGTACCGTGTGTGGTGGACACCTTACTGTTATACGGGTACAGTGTGTGGTGCACACCTTACTGCTATACAGGTACCGTGTGTGGTGGAAACTTGACCGCTATGCAGCTGCAGTTTGTCGTGGAGACCTTGCTTTTATACAGATACAGTGTGTGGTGGAGATTTTACTGTTATACAGATACATTGTGTTTGAGTCCTTTCTGTTATACAGATACAGTGTGTGGTGGAGATTTTACTGTTATACATATACATTGTGTTAGAGTCCTTTCTGTTATACAGGTACAGTGTGTGTGGTGGAGACTTTACTTTTATACAGATACAGTGTGTGGTGGAGACTTTACTGTTATACAGATGCAGTGTGTTGTGAAGACTTTTCTGTCATACTAGTACAGCGTTTAGTGGAGACCTTCCAATTGTTCTATTTATCATAAATGGTTCTAACTGGCCCGCATATCATACCCTGTTTCAGCTGTCTCGCCCATCATACCTTATTCCAGCTGCTCCGCCCATCTTATCCTGTTTTAGTTGTCCTGATCAAAATACCCTGTTTCAGCTGCCCCTCATCATACCCTATTCCAGCTGTCCAGCCTATTTTATTCTGTTTTAGATGTCCTGTTCAATATTCCCTGTTTCAGCTGCCCCGTCCATCATACCCTATTTTTGCTGTCCCACCCATTGTACCTTGTTTCAGCTGTTTCGCCCATCATATCCTGCTTCAGCTGTCCCACTCACCATACCCTGTTTCAGCTGTCCCGCCCATCATACTCTGTTACAGCCGTTCATCACACCTAGTTACTTGATTCTAGCTGATTCAGATATCTCACTCGGTTCCAGGTATCCAGCCAATCTCATCTATTTCCATCTGTCTTGCCTATCACTTCCGGCTTGAGTTGCCTCCTCTGTCACATATGGCTTAATATTAGCTGTGTATCACACTGCCACACCTGATGACACATATTGACATTGGCCTCTGGGATCCCTTGTCCACTGCATTCCCGAAAATTTTCGCTGTCCCCCATTTTTTTTATATATTAGGCTACCTACCCTCTGATGATGTACCAACAGTGAGGGTAATTAGAAGCTTTGAGAATTGGCCAGTTATATTGATGAATTGGCCAGTTACTGACTAACAGGTTACTTACAGCCACAGTCAGTGATTAAGCAGCAAATGGCTCGACTCTCGAGATCATAAGCAGTGAAACATATGATACAAAAAAGAAAGAGAAGAAGTAGTACTAGGTAGATAAATTGAAACGAGCACCGTTACCTGGGCGGTGGTTGAGGACACGACGGTCTACAGAAAAGGTTGGGATGGCGGTCCTTGGGCCCTCGCCGTCCAGCAGGTGGCGCTGGTCTAGTGGGTTACTCATCGTCGACCCGGACTCTACGGTGCCGTGAGACCTGCGGTAAGACACTCAGTCACAACTTTTTGGTGATGGTGTGGTCATTTGAGGTGATGGTGTGGTCTCTCTAGTGTTATTGGCATTGCTAGGATTACAGATATTTAAATATGATTACAAATGAGCGACAAGTGGCAGTAAGCCTAAGAAAAAAGAATCTTTTAGAAAAGTTGAAGGATATTTTATCACATTTACCCAGAATGAATGTAATTTGATTCCTTATCGATCATCATCGAATCGAAAAAATTAACGATTAGGAAACCGTCGCTGTAACAGATGGTCTTAATTATATTATTTATTCCTGCCTTAAATCCCTTTTCTTACTCTTATATATTTTTCTACTTATTTGCCTTCCTTTAATCAATCACATTCTTTCTTTCTTACTCTTACTTTCTTTCTTTAATTCTTACTCTTACCATATTTATACTTTTGCATAATTTCTTTTTTTCTTCCTTTACGTAACATTTACTTAGAGTGTATGGGAGATGGAGTGAATGAGAGAGGGAACAGACGGGAAGGCAGGAAGGTGTGAGCAGGGGAGGGGGAGGTGAGGGGAAGGAGCGTTTGTGGTCACTTTCTCGTCACACAATTATTGTTACTCCACGGGGAGAGAATGCGGGGAAACTAAGAGCAAGGAATAATAACAGGAGGAATAGAGGAAAATTCAGGAAATAGGGACTAAGGAAAACGCGTGAGAGTTAGGATGTTATTTATGATTCACTGTATCACTACATAACACAAAAACATTTATGATGATGTTCTACTCAGTGCAAAGGGAGGTGGTTGATAACTTTTGTAGAATTTTTGCAGTTATTTAAAACGTTCTTAAGAATGATAATCACTTCAAAACCTACACTAGTTAACAAACAGAGCACATACCTCACAAATAATTTTTGATCAACGGATAATACCTAAAGTCCACTTATTAATTATTATTAATCCACCAGCCACTAATGCTGGCCATCCTCACTGCCTCATAAACCAACCTAGACTGTTGTCTGTTTTAAACAAAGGATGACTCCTCCCTAATGGACGCTACACGCTCGTGATGTCACGTCTCATAGGTGCCCTGTGATTGGCTAAGACGTAGGCCTCATGGCACTGACAATAAAGGCGGCTTAGCGCGAAACTGCACCTGTTCTCTCCTTCTAAAATTCACTTCTTTCCTCCCTTTATCCTTCCCCTGAACCTCTTTCCCCCCTGTCACTAGTTTTTATGTATATATGTACTGCCTTCTAACATAATGTAACTACAATTCTTAAGAACATGACTTTATTAATCTAAAATTATGACAATATATTACCAAAAATATCGGCTTCACACTTGTAAAGGCATCATTAGTATGCTCAAGACAGTCATCAGTGTTACTGAAACAATAAGTCACTTCGGAAAGGGTCAAGCATGGACCGTTTCACTAATATATTGCTGAAATCTAAAAAAAAGTTTGTCAGCTGTAGACATTGATAAAGGTACACTAACACTCGTTTTCGTACTATAACATGTAGAGACATGAAAATAAGAGTTGCTCTTATCGGCCTGTAGGTTCCAATAGGGTTAGTGCCGATACAGTGCATGGTGGGCATAGCCTTTTCTCAGTACATTAGGAGGCGATGCACCTGTCTGCCTTCACTTCCCAACTGTAAAGTTAGATAATAATCTACAGCAGATGGGTGGAATAGTATTAGGGCACCCAACACGCAAACCACTGATTCGTTGAACTGTTTTATGTAGATATTTTTGTTTTACCCGCTAACTTTTTGTGATCTACCAATTCACCTATTGTACCACAGTCCCAAACCTTACTCTATAATGTGCTACTAGTTACACTCTCACAGTCAGAAGCTTTTCCATCTATTTCACTTTAATTCCATGAGCTTCCAATTTCTATATTTGTCTCCTGTGAGGAGCTTTATCAAAATTTGTCTCTAAATCCAGATAAAGGACATTTGAGGGTTTAGTACAAAGAAACTTAAAACCTATCTCGAGTGAAATTGTCGGAATCTGTCTTGAGTATTGACTACTGTGATTTTACCTAAGACATTGTTAAACTAATCATTCTTTAATTTCACGAGTTTTATCCACCTCCTTATTTTAAACATTGGATTAACACTAACTTATCCCTATGTGTGTGTGTGTGGAAAATAACTCAGGTCTAACGTAATTATAAAAGTTTGAAAGGAGCAGGTATTTCTAACTTTAACTGTTTTAAAATTATTCGGTATGCATTATCTGGTCCTGGTGATTTTTAAAAACAATCTTGTCAATTATTTTGATTGTGTATGTCATCTTTAAGGTGATTTCTGCTAGTACTTCATCACTGCCAAAAGTAAATATACGTCAACTTGCGCTTTCTAAGGTGAAGTCTGAACAGATTATGTTATCAAAATTTCACTCATGTCTTCGCTACTTTGAGCTATCGCATTATATAAATGTGCCTATGGTTGTATATTTTTCTTAACTTTAACCTTACCATTTCTCATAAAATATCTAAAACAAGTACTTTGGTTTTGATTTTAAGTTCATTACTGTACAATGTTCGCATTTATTCTGTTTCTGTCTCTTCAATTTATTAGACTCCTTTCGAATACACGTTGTATGCCTGCATGTCCTGTGACCATCTGTATCGACTCTGCTATATTGCCATTTAATCTTTTTATGCTACTACTAAGATTACCTTCATGTATTGTTGTGTCTGAATAGCCATAGAATAAGCTTTCTATATAACATAGAATATTGTTAAAATTCTTTTGCTATAAACATTATATTCATACATTCTATGACCAGACCAAATTATACCACTGAGCTCTTCGAAGTTTGCCAATAATAACATTTAGTCCTAAATATGCTGTTACAGTGTTTTATGTATTTTCAATGTTTTCTTAAACCTTAAACCTTATAATGTTATGACTGCTGTCTCCTAAACTCCCCTACACCGCGTTAACTACAAGCTTTCTTGTATTAGCCCCTGTGAAACAGACAGTAATACTTATATAGATGTGGGTTACAAACATTATGTTCATGGGGTTACATCACCCATGGTAACTAGCCTATGAGCAGTAAGTAAGTCATTACTGTACACTTGACAGTGGTTTTCCACTGTCCACCTCGCACCTTGACTGCTTGGCTCAGCATTAAGTAGCCGGCCTCTGGCAGTCTGTACCCTTTTCTTAGCCACGTAAGACGAGTGTTCATGATGCTCGTTACACATACACTTCATTCCTTATTAATGCTCACAGCTCAAAGCGTTAATTATGGTGATATCTTAGTTATTGTGCAATCGTTTATTTTACTTAATAAATGGAGAAAAGACCATTTGGGTTTAAAACTAAACCAATAAACATTTATGAATGTCACTTTTAAAAATGACTCTTCAGAATCTTCATCAGTGATTACAACAGGTAAACAGAAGGTAACACTCGTCCGGTGCAGAATGTAAGGTCGAGAATATTTCTTAGTCGAATGGGTTATACATTACAACTTTTTTTGTAAGGATACTTGATGAATCTAAAACACAAGGGCTTAGCATAGGTGTTTTCTAGTTTATGTTGGATTAGTATACTCTTCCATTTAGCTATTGCTTAGTAAACAAGTTTTGGTTAAGATTATTGGTGCACACACACACACCATCCTTGACACAGGCTCTTACTTCTACCCGAGATCCCTCGTCCGCGAATTACTGTTCGACACAGCAACCTCATCCAGCCCATATGAAGGTGGGAGAGTGCAGTGCCGGCCACGCTGTCCCCTTTCGTACCGTAGGCTCAGTATACAGTGGGCTATACCAGCATTCACCCTAATGGTCAATAATACCTATGGGATCCACTTTCATATCAGAGGGGGATAAGTAACCAGGATTGGACGGATGAGTAAAAGGTTGTGTTCAGTTGTAAAAAGGGGCTAGTGCCAAAGGAATGGAACAGTGAGAATAATAGTAAGTCTTTTAGAATAATATGTTTTGATAGTGGTAGAACTATAAAATATGACAATGGTTGATCGAATAGGAAGTATTCTAGAAACTCTTGTCGGCGAGGAAGAGGGAGGCTTTAGTAAAGGTAGAAGGTGTAATGATACAATATTTGCAAGAAGGTAGGCAATATCGAAGTTATGTATAACACTCATAGACTCAAAGAAAGTGTGGGCATAGGATAAATTGGAAGGCCATGTAGGAAATACTGTGCATGCATTAAGCATATGTAGCACTTTTTTAAGAATTAATGGCAGTGTGAGAGAGAAATTAAATTGCCTTTGAAAGTGCTTAAGGATGTCACCTCTATTATTTAATGCCTCTTGATGGTATAGCATGAAAAATTAAAAAATGGGTAATTCTCGAATGCATGAGAGACATGGTGACATAAAGTGAAAGTTTTCACACGCACGCAGACAACGCTGTGTTGTTAGTAGAATCTGAGAAAAGAGTTGGAGAAAATGGTTAAATATTTTGAAGGAATTTGTTGGAACAAATTCGTAAACATAATAATCTCAAAGATAAGTTCAAGGGAAATAAAAGTGTTTGCGTGACATCATTATGACTTGTATGATTTGAAAAACGCTACGAACTGTTAATGGATTTCGGTATTTCCGAGCGAAAGAAAATTTAAAAATCACTTTGAGTAAAGCAAGAAATGAAAACAATAGATGTCCTGAAAATATGAATAAATAGGAAGAGTCTGAGAAGAGACTATGCAAAGGAATTGTAAAGGAATATATATTTCAGCTCCTTAGTGTATGACTGTGAAGTTCAGATGTGAATTGAATTGAATTGAAACAGTTTATTTAGCCAGAAAAACACAGACACAGAGTGGATAATAATAACAATGTTAACATGGCTGAGCCAGTTGAGAACCTGAGCTCTCTTTAAGGCACCTAATATACACTATACATTTATCTCAAGGAAGTATTATGCAACATTTAGTATCACCTGGAATAGTACAATAGCATTGTGGTAATAAGAACTTCTCATAATGTTACCACGGTTATCACTTCAATAT